CGAGGTTCCTCAGCACCCACGCGGCATGCAGCTTCTGCTCGTCTGTGCCGTCGCGAGCCAGCGCCACCAGTGGCGCGATGCCGCCCTCCCTCGCGATCGCCACTCGGTTGTCGTCGTTCCAAGCCTTCGGGGGGGAAGCGAGGTTTCCCAGCGCCCACGCGGCCTCCACCTTCTGCCCGTCCGTGCCGTCGCGAGCCAGCGCCACCAGCGGAGCGATGCCGCCCGCCTTCGCGATCGCCACCAAGGTGTTGTTCTCCAACTGAGCACTTAGTTTCTTGAGCGCCCCCGCCGCCTCCTCCTTCTCCCCGTCCGTGCCGTCGCGAACCAACGCCACCAGCGGCGCGAAATCACCCGCCTCCGCAAGCGCCACCAGAGCTGGCACGTCGAGCTCCGCGTCAGACTCCGCCTGCGGGCAGCCAATCTCGGGTCAACCTCGAAATCTCATCAGAACCCCGGCCCGGCTCGTGTCCGCCTGCAGCTCCCGCGAGGCGTCGTCGGACGAGCTACTGTGCTCCGTCGTTTGCCTCTCAGAGCGACCGAGAGCCTCGCGGCGCACGCGCTCCTTCTCATCTGCCACTGCTGCAGACGCTGCTGCCTCCCGCCGCGAGCGCTCTTCCGCCTCCTGCGCACCCGGGTCACCCGACGCCAGCCCCTGCTCCAGCACCGCCGCCGCCGGCCGCCGCCCCGGGGCCTCCTGGAGAGAGCCCTCGACCCACGAGCCGAGCCACTCGCTCGCGGACTTGCACTCGGCGATCGCGCGCTGCCGCTTTGCCGCGTCGAGCGCCACGTTGCCAATCGTGCGGCCGAGGATAAGCTCGGCGAGGATGCAGCCGACCGCCCACACGTCGTCCGCCGGCCCGTACCGCTTGCCAACGGCCTTCTCGGGCGACATGTAGGCGTCCGTGCCCACCTTGGTCTTGGTGCGCGAGCGGCGCGAGGCGGAAGAGACGCACGCGAGCCCAAAGTCGATGATCTTCGCGCGGCCCGCCGAGTCGAGCATCACGTTGGCCGGCTTGAGGTCGCGGTGCTGCAGGTTGAGCGAGTGCATGTACGCGAGCCCGGACGCGACCTGCCGCACCAGGGCTGCAACCTCGGCCGGCGGCGGCGCGGCGGAGATCTTCTCGGCGAGGGAGCCGCCGGTGAGAAGCTCCGTGACGATGACAAAGAGGCGGCCGTCGTCGGTGTCGTGCCAAAAGGCGTCGTAGAAGCGCAGGGTGTTCTCGTGCTCGATCATCGAGAGTAGGCGCGCCTCCCTCTCCAAGCCGGCGCCGTCCAGCTCCTCCGACTCGATCATCTTGACCGCGTACAGCCTCGCATCGATCCCAGCGACCTTGCGCATCCGATAGGTGACGCCGAAAGAGCCCTTTCCGAGCCGCGCGGCGAGCTTGTCCTTCTGGCCGGCAGGCGCGTCCGGCTTGCGGTCGTAGGCGTAGAGCGACATCCGCGAGCCGCGGTCCGGTTCCGCGTTGTCCGTTGCCGAGAGGTTCGCCATCATCACGATGATTTTGTCGAGCTTCAGGCCCTGCTGCGCAAAGCCCTCGCGCATCTCACGCGTCAACTCCTCTTGGAACTCGGCGTCCGACACGCCCGAGGCGACGGCGATGCCACGCACGACCTCGGAGTCCTTTTCGAGCGCCTCCGCGTCGACAGCCTCGCCCAGCCCCTTCCGCTCGGCCACCTGCCGCTCCACCTCCGCCTCGACAGCGTACTCGCGCGCCTGCAGCCGGTCGAGGATGTCCGCGTCGCGGGTGAGGTTGTAGAATTGGAGCAGCAGGTCGAGCTGGCTGGTGATCTCCGAGTCGAGCTGCGAGAAGGTGTTGCCCCTCTTCACATTTAGCGCGTGTCGCAGCCAGCCCTTCTTGCCAAAGGCAGCGACCGCCGAGCGCACGTCTTCGAGCAGCCGCTGCAACTCGCGCATCCTGTCCTCGACGCTCGCGCGGCTCGTCACGTCCATGCGTTTCACGTTTTGAGCCATGAGCTGCAGCAGCTCGAGGACGTCGATCGTGCGCTGGGCAGCGGACAGCACATCGTTGATCACAGTTCGCGACGCTTGCACGACTTGAAGGACGCCGCGAGCCGCGCTGCACACCGCCGGAATGAGAGGCAGCCCGGCGCCCTCGCCGATCTTGAGCACGGTGTCGACGAGCTTCAGACCCGTTTGGACCTTGTCCATTGCACGCCCCGCCGACGCGAGCCGCTCGAAACCAGCCTCCATTTTTGGCACGCAAAAGGCGGCGGATTCGCGGCGATCTCACGAAAAAAGAATTTTGACCACCCTCAAGTGACTTCCACAATCGATCATCAATTTGTATTGCCAACGACCAATTGTACCTCGCCGCCCGCCCCTCCGCCGCGAGCCGCTGCAGCTCCGGCGGCACCTCCTGCTTTGCGTCGCGCAGCACCTGCACCTGTTCACAGCCAGGCACGCGCCTGTGAAGAGAAGCTGCTTGAGCACTTGAGCACTGGATAGGGTCGATTCCGCATGGTACGGGACCCCTCGATCGTCTCGCCCTCCCTCACTGGTGTGTTCATCGGGGGGGGTCATAACAAACACGGTACAGGATCGGGGTGCACGCCGCCGAAGCAGTGTCGTAGAAGCTGCTGACAACGCCTAGGAGTGTGCCGCTGCGCGGGTCGGCGCCAGGTCGTCGCACATGCGCGCGTCGGCCGGCGTGACCTGCGAGAAAAAAAGAAAAAAAGATCGACAGCTCGGACGATTGGAGCACTTGGAGCACTTGGAGTCGATTTGTGCTTCCTATTTTTTCTCGTGCTGGGGACGCGGTACACGAGGCGCGATTCAGAAATCTTTGTTGTGTGTGAAAAAGTTCTTTGTTTCCAACAACTAGGTGCGCAACCCGTCCGCCCTGGTCTTGACCCTCGCGACGTAGGTGTCCGCAACACGTCCGCCTTGGTTTTGGCCTACGATGACACCTATACGTTGGATTGATGACACCCCGAGGGAATTAGACACCACAGATACGCACAACCGACGCCCGAAGTGCCAAGAAGGACGTCATTAGTACGAAACCTCAGAAAAAGGCCATGGGCGTCGAGAGAACATTCCCTCGAGAGGACAAAGAAAGGCGACGCACCCCCTCCTTGCGCAGTGTCCCCCGCTATGTGTCGCCAATTGGGGCACGCTATCCTGTGCAGTCAGGGCAAGCGGGGGCGGGGGGCACTCCCCCTGGTCTGATACTGGGGTGTGACTGTCTCCAGTCTCGGAGGGGGGCAAGAAGGTAAGAATATCTAATCTTGCTGCACCTCGCAGCTGCACCAAGTGTGCTCGCAGTGTATGCCACGGCCGCCGCCTGCGGCAATGCTCTCGTGCAGCTAGGCGACGCAGGTCCATCAGCAGGGCTCATCCAATGCGAGTGCACATCGCCTGCTGCTGCCTGATTCAGTCACGCCAGCGGTGCAGCAAGGCGTGCAGAATTCGCGCGGTTTGGTACCTCCTGAGGCTGAGCGCGTTCAGACCCGGTGACCGGAGTTGGATGGTTCGATGGAGCTCGCCGAGCTCCATCGAACCATCCATGGCCGGACGGCGGAGCGTGAGGTGCCGAGCGGAGAGATGTACCGCAAGACGAGAAAAACACGGATCTGACGCGATGTCAGGCAGCTCGGGCATCTGCCTCTGCCCCCTCGCCGCATCGACGAGCGCGCTCGTGTCAGCGCGCCGCTGCTCCTGGTGCCGCTGCATGGCCGCCGCGCTCGCACCCGCTCCGCTCAACGACATTGTGAGGAAGCAACGGTCTGCGAGCTCCTTTCGCCCAGCGGGTCCACCTCTCCACAGAGAGTTCTCCCAGTCATGTGCCCAAATGCGCCCGCCGTTTTTCGTCGTACCACCCCCTCGAAACCCGCCGACTTTGATTGGGTCCGGTTCAACCTCACTCTCATCTTATCTATTACAGACACAAAACGTCAGATCTGGCTCACCCAGCGAGGGCTGGACCTAGTCGGGACAGTGTCAGCGTGAGCAGTGTTATTCTCCGCGCCTCGGCTCTTCACATAACTGTACGTGGCTGGGTCGACAGCGATTGTAGGACAACGAAGGGACCAAGTCACGGTCGCGGCCTTCCGACTCGCGCCTCCGCCTCACTGGCACTATTGTAGCCCTGGCCGGTGCGCGTGTGGAGTTGAAACTCCCGAGTAAAAATTCGAACGCGTTCTCTCACGGTGACCAAAAAATGTCCACCTCAGAGGCACCTCCGGAGGCAGGCCGCCGCACGCCGGCGACACAGCTCCAGCTGTCGAGCTGCGACCCGCAGCTCCTCTCAGAGCGGGAACTGTGACGAAAGTTGACTGAGGCGGTTGTCAGGAATCATCATACGGATCACATGGTGGCTCTCTCATGACGGGAGACCGCCTGGGTGGCACTGCCACCGGTGTCGCTCGACGTCCTGTCGACAGCGTGCCGACAGCGACACAGACCATGTGGGACGCGTCGAGTATCGACCTCTACTGCTTACCCAGCCTTCGAGTGTATCCTGCCTGTGGTCCCACCCACACCCACTGGTGTCCATCTCAGAGACCGCAGGAGGTCATGAGGGTCGATGGGAGTGCCAACCCCACAATGCCTAAAGACCCAGCCCAGTAGCAGTACGCGGCCTCACATTCACATACTGTACGCAGTACACGACACATCAAATGAACACACTAGTTACATCCAACGCAAAGCGCATGGCCCCATGGACACACTAACTCTTTAGTGCCCGAGTGCGTCTAGTGGACTGTGGAGTCACCAGTGGCCCTGGAGACAACTCTAGTGCACGACCCCGCGGTGTCCGCCGCCTCACAGGGGGCACGCAGGCACACGTGTACAACAGAGGGCGCCACGCATCTGCATGCGGCTCCCGACAGCCTCGTAGCGCTTCGTCCCGTCGAAGGCATCGGATCCCACCCCCTGCCGTACGTCTCGCAGCTGTCTGGTAGTAACACACGGAGGGGGAGGGGAGGGGGAGAGCGAGAAGGGAGGGGGGGGGGGGGGAAAGCCCTCACCCCCCCTAAACCGAGAGGGCGCCTGCTTGGACAACCCCCCGGGGCAACAGCGCGGGTAAGCAAGCGGCCCCCCAACCAGCAAAGCCCCTTGGAGACGGCCTTGGGCAATTTACCCATCG